GCAGCCGGTAGCACCAGTACTTGCTGACGGTGAAGGTGGTGTAGCTGGCTTTCCAGACGCCGTCAAAGCTGTATGTTCCCACAGGCTCAGCTATCACATCCTCAAAATCCACCTGGGAGGAGGGAAGATGGAGGTAAGGGGGGTGTGGGGGGGTTAACAACGGCTCCAGTGCAAGGACGAGGATCTGCTGCGATGAGCGAGGAGAGCCCGAATGGAGGGGGCTGGGGAGAGCCAGGGCCGTGCTGGGGGGGACACGGATCCCCTGCACCCCCCGAGCGAGGACAAGCCCCGGAGCAGAGGAGGGCCCCTGCCCTTGCAGAGGTGCAAGCGGGAGATGGCGCGGGGCTCCCGGCACTGCCTGGCCTCAGCCCGCACAGCGCGGCACGCAGGCTTGACCCATGGCACACAAGCCCAGGCTTGGCCGCTCCGGGACACGTTCCCCGGCCCCAAACCCTGCGCTGTGGACGGTGCTTCCAGGTGCCGGGGCCAGGCACGAGCTGGAACTCCGGGAACAGGAGCTGTGCGTGGGAGTGTTTACTCCGGAGGAGGCCAGAGCCCGTTGCTGCCCTTTTTTAGCATTCAGGGACATGGGCTGCCTGCTCGGCAAGAAGGTGGTTTGTGCTAATAAAAATCCAACAGCCCTCTTGATTTACAATTTATTTATTTATATGTGTGGAGGCGAGGTGCTCAATTCTGTCTGCGTTCTGTGTGAAGAGGGAGAGAGATGGGCTCGGCCATGCCCTTATGGGATAGTGCTGTTATGTGCAGGCATTGGGGGTGTCTCGGAATGACAAATATTCTTAAAAGCCTCTGATCTACGCACAGAGATCTCATTGTGGTGTAACTCATTTCTAGGGAATACACGAGCCAAGTTATTTGTCTTGAAAAATAGCATGGCCTTTCCTTGGGAAGCTAATGTGTCTGTCTGTACGTTTATGTTAAATTGCAATATTCGTTCTGGTTTTGGAAGCACTTTGATCATAAAATCATTCTGCATTGTCTTTAATTTCCGGGAGTGGGCAGGAGGTACCAGGAGAAATATTGGCGTGGATTGGGAATCAGCAGCCAGGCTAGCTGGTCCTGCAGCTCCTGCCAGCAGCTCCGGGAAAGCCCTGCTGCCCAGGTGGGCTGGGAACCGAGCAGCGGGTCACTGCACAGCTGCCTGAGTGCCTGATGGGCTAATCAGGGGATCAATTAATGAAGGGAGTGGCAGGCTATAAGAGAAGAGTCTCTGCCTGGCTGTTCTTTTGCTAACAGTGCACCAGGACCGGGTCTAGAGGAGCGGTGCAGGCAGAGAGGCTGAATCTCGAGCTGAGCCTGGGCACGGCCCCGAAGCGTTCAGGGACCAGCTATGCAGGTACCGCTCTGTTGCTCCATTGCATCGCCTGGGAGGAGGCTTTTAAAGCTCTGCAAAGCCCCTGTGGCCAGCGCCCCTGCCGTAACTGTAACGTGGTCTCGAATTCTGGCTGCTGTGCCTCAATGCCTGGGACGGGTTTATCTATGGCCATGTGAACCCTTCAGCCTGCAAACCACTCCGCTTCCCTGCTTCCCTCCGCTGGACGCCTCTCTACCTGCCGTGCTTTAAGAGCATTATGTGCTTTAATGCCCAGGGTGTTTTCGAGTGTGTTGCCGCTCACTGGAGCGCGGGGAGGCTTTGGCTTTCCCTTCGGGATGCTGGTGAGCGGCAGCGGGGTGAGCTGTGCTCCATGCCCCGGGGCTGGCTCTGCCCTCCCTCCCCACCCTTATGGCCGTGCTGTTCTTAAGGCAGGAGGAACGCTCTGAAAACTTCCAAAGCTGATGAAGCAGCAGTGTGGCCATGTAAGCGGGTGAGCTTGAAAATCCTCTTTCAGGCTTTTGGGGATCCCTGAGTGGGAAAAGGCAGGGGAAGGGTGGGGGAGTGGGGCTGGAGGTGGCTTGGAGGTGGCATTACCCCCCCAGAGGTAGCTGGAGACATCCCCCAGCTGGGAGCGGGTAGGTGCTCCCCGGAGCACTGCCTGGCACGGGGGGTGAGCCGGGCTGAAGGCTGTCCCGGTCCTCGCGGCCGACGGCAGGGCGGTGCTGCCCGTGGCCCAGCGCACTTCCAAGCCCCGGGCCAAGGCTGTCGAGACGCGCTGGCACGGTGCGGCACAGATGTGGGACGCGCTGCTGGGAACGCGCTCGAGATACCGAGGTGCCTGGCAGCTGTCGTGGGCACGTCTCGCTGTGCCGGAAGGTGCCCATCTACGGCTGTCACTGTCACAGCTCATCTGGGGGGCTTTGAATCTGACCGTGCCCACGGTTTTAGCTGTAATAGTGTTCTAATACACAAATGCAAGCTTGCATTTCACCAGTACAATCAAGGTCATGGCCTGTTCCAAAGCCTTTGTGAGAAGGCTTTGTCCCTTCTGGCATGTCATCCTCTTTGATCTCTCAGCACAGTTTTAACAAAACCCTTCCATCTCCTCCTGTTCTCCTTCAGGCCAAAATTATCTTTGGCATAATGCTAACAAAGCTTAGAGCAACCAAACTCCAGTGGTCAGCATTTGGGAAAATGCTTCCCTGTTTAGCTAGACTGAGAACTTTTGCTCAAAAATAGATGGAGGAGACTTGCTGCACCCTCCTGCTTCCGTGTCGGAGAAACAATCTTCTTCCAAATAGGACAACGCGTATCTAAATGCTCTGGTGCTCAGATTGTCAGGTCTTGAAGATGAGCAGTCTTTTTCCAAGGTTCCCTTTAAATCAGTGATATGGGCTGACCTTGTTTTATTTTTGGCTCCCCACTTACTGGTACAGAGGAGGGCCTCTCCATAAATTTTCAAGCTACAGCCCGTGAAGCTGGAGAGTGCATTCAAGGAATGGGAAATATTGCGTTAATTGGAGCCATGCACGGCACAGAGCCACCCAGCCGCAGTCTGGACGCCCCGGCAGCAGGGCTGGGGCTTGCAGCAGGTTACCTCCCTGCAGCCCAAGATAATGCCGCTTCTTGAGGCGTATACCAGTGACTTACAGCCCTGGCTGAGGTCAGGCCAAATATAGAATGACAATAGCAATATACCGATTGCATTAAGGAGGCAGTGATGCTTCTAAAAACCAGTGCTGAGAAAGCCGCAGTCTGGACGCCCCGGCAGCAGGGCTGGGGCTTGCAGCAGGTTACCTCCCTGCAGCCCAAGATAATGCCGCTTCTTGAGGCGTATACCAGTGACTTACAGCCCTGGCTGAGGTCAGGCCAAATATAGAATGACAATAGCAATATACCGATTGCATTAAGGAGGCAGTGATGCTTCTAAAAACCAGTGCTGAGAAAGTCCTACCTTTACGATGTCCTCGTTTATACACTTCGGGTCTCTGTTCACCAGGTCGATCTCCTTGGTGTGCTGGTCCTTGATGATGATCCTCTCCTCCAGCTCGGTCTGTTCCTCTGCCATGGCTGCTCTGCCGCCAGCTTGGCTCCGGGCGGTCACAGAGCCGGGAATCGGGGCTCTGCTGGGGGAGGACCGGGGGAGGGCAGGGTGTGGAGGCGCTGGCCCCCCCGCCGCCCGCAGCAGCTGCCCTACAGCCCTGCGCCCCTGGCAGTGCTCCAGGCTAAAATTAATGTCGTGCCTCCCGTGGCCACCCTGAGGTGTCCCTTAAAGGGGCTTTGCTGGGGACAGCCCCCGCGGTGTCCCCTCGGGGGGGCACACCTGTGGGGGGCTGGCGGCCCTCGAGCCGGGGCAAGGGTGGCACAGGAGGGGGGTGAGCTGCCCCCAGCCCTCCCAGCCCAGCTGGGCGGGTGGGATTCTCCCCTCGCGTGGGGAGGCAGCGTGGGAGGAACGATGCCCAAATTGGAGCAGAAGTCCTCGAGAGCCTGAGAGAAATAGTTGTTTACGAGGGAAATAGTTGTTTACGAATCTGTAAATGCAACGGCTCAGGGGAGACAGGAATCGCATCTATAAATATCGCCCAGAGAAGCCACATTGTCCTGGGATGGCCAGCAAGCCTCAGCGTCCCTGCGGGAGCCCAGAAGGCGGCTCATGGTATCAGCTTGGGTTCCTTTGATTCTGGCTTTTTCACACAGAGAAAGTCGAGGAAATGCACAGACCAACCCACAGATCTATAGCGGTTGGAATCTCCATGAACACTGGGCACAGTGACATTCAGCATATTAATGAAGATTTATTTAACTTGTGCTGTATTTTGATAATCCTCATCAATCTCTTCAATGCACTCTTGGTTTTCATGAACTGAAGATTTGTTTAAAACTAATGGTTTTGTGAAGAGAAAAAAAAAACCCAAAAAACCAACCAAACCACCCACCCACCCAAAGCTTCTGTCAGATCAGTTGTTTGTAGACACTTTCATTTGAAGCAGTATTGGGATAACCGACCTCTGCTCTCCCATCGTGTCTCCCTTCGGTAAAGGCTGCCTTACAGCCGCCCGGGCGTCTCTGCACGCGGTGCGGGGGCTGCCCTCGATGGCCACGGGCTGTGCTGGGAGGGTGACACAGCCGGTGGTGGTGACTCACCCCCGGTGAGCCCTGTGCGTCGGTACCGTGCACGGCAGCGTTTGGAGGCAAAACCTCTCGAGGGGGCAACTGCATATTAACCCCCGTTAATTCAAGTGTTCACGAGCGCGTCTCTGAGCTGTTCTCGAGCCCCTTTTCTCAACCTTCCCTAGGCGAAGACGTGTGGTACCTCTAGCTGGAAAGTGCTTTGGGTTTCGTGGTCGAGATGAAACTGCCTCTGGCAGTGACACCTGCATCGCTTTGCGGGAGAGGAGCCGGTGGGAGCACCCGAATGAGCCTCGCCGATGGCCCGAGCCCGGGGGTGCTGTGGGTGCGTGCTTTTCCCTTCCTTCGCGCGGGCAGGAGCAGGCCGTGCCGGCAGCGCGTCCGCACACCTTTTGTGCTGACACAGCACAGCGCAAGAGAGAACGGCTGGATAGGGAAGGATGCCTGGCTCCTTAAGGAGGAGGGATCAGTGCCCGGGAGGTGTCTGCACAACTCTGGGCATGGAAGCGGCCACTTCAGAGCTAACGCACTCGGCTGGCACGGGGAGGGGGAGGTATTTTAACTGCAAAAGGCTGCTGCCTTCCAAAAACATCAGTGCCGTCTTTATCAAATCCACGTGGCTTGGTGCCTGGAGCTTTCAGCACTGCAATGGTTTTGTTCCAGCCCTTTGAGTTGATATAATATAGTGCAAAATGGATTTGTGTTCTTTCATTTGGCTGAGGCATAGCAGGTCTCTCAGGCGGATTCATTTTTCCAGAGAACTTGTGATGGCGAGAGCCTGGCCGAGTGTAACCACAGGTCGAAGGCTGCCAGACTCCTCTAACTCCTTCTGCTGCCTGTGGTGGTTTTTCAGTATTTTTGCTGTAGTCAGGGTGGTACCTCAGTCTGGAAACTGTTTTTCTCGGGATTTCTGCTCTAGTGAAAGCAGATGTGGTGATGCTCTGGGGTGTGGCATACCCAATGGCTAAAACTGATGACTGTAGCTTGTCGGAGACCTCCCTGACTCCTTCTGTAGGGAGAGAAAGGGCAGAACTGGGGGTGGCAAGTAACCACGCAAACCCACGGGGTTTTGCAAAAGTAAAGGAGGCACCTATGGAGAAAGGACAAATTCTGTAAAGGTTTGAGTGTGGGATTGTGGGTTTAAATCTGGGCAGGTTGCTTCTGGAGAGGAGCACCCATCAGCGACCCTGTCGTGGCTGCATTCCTCCGGGACAAAGGACGCTGGAAAACCCCTCAGCAGCACCAGTTCCATGTCCCTGCATCTCTCGCGGGCGGGGTGGCTCCGTCTGGCCCCGTTGCTTTGCCTTCCCACAGGGCTAGCTGAGCGGCACAGCTGCAGGCACGGCTGCTGCTGGTGGTAAAACGTGCCCAGAGCCGTCCGGGCGTGGAGCACCCGGAGCCCGGCTCGAGACAGGCTGCCCGCTGGTCTCTGCCCTTCGGCGGGGCTTTCGGACCCGTGCTCGGTCGGTGACCCGGCCCTCCACCCGCGGTGCCAGCACCGGCTCCTCCTCAGCAGC